CATTTTGTAAATTTTCGATATCATCATATTTCAGGCCAATATAACCAGTATATAGAAGACATTCATTGATATATCGTTTGAAATTTGATGTTTTCTGGTCAGAATGATTTTACTTGAATTAGCCTAAACACTAGTTGATATAAGTAAAATTAGAATCACATCAAATTTTTAAATGAGAATTGAGAGAAAGCAATGTCAGTATTATTCAAGATACTTTAAATACATACATTATTGATCTCTGTTAGAATTTACTTGAAGAGAGTCGAATTTTAATTGAAGTAAGCAGAATTCTGGTTAATGCAGAATCCAAGTAGTATTCTGATTGAATTGAGTGCCGGTACGTGTCTGAACGCCGGATCACTGTAATTAAAGTAAGCAGGATTATGCTTGCTTCGATTTCTGATGATTGAAGTAAGTAGAATTCAAGTGAATGTAATTAGAATTTAGCGTACAGGCCGTAAATTGATATCAAGCAGAATTATCGTTGATATATTACAACGGATCTTCATGGCTTGGTGCGTGAACTAAATACTGTTGATTGTAAGGGGGTTTTTCTAACAGTATAGCCGAACACTGATACATCTATTCTTGTTTAAAAATTCCGCCCAGAGAGAATTGGTTTCAATATGTACGCAGAGTATACGTGACCGCATTTAACTTTCCTTGCATTAGTAGGTCCACAGTCTACACTATCCACACAGTCCTTAATTTTCTGTAGTAGTAGAGTATAAATCCAGGTTATTGTGTACACAGATTGAGAACAAAAAGGTGTTTAGTGTACATTCTGTTCTAGTTTTCAGGATTGCCAAACTTCTCGAATGTGGTTTTAAAAAATATTAATGGCTGTGAAACAAATCTGGTGGCTTTATGGCTGTAAAGTGGCTGTGAACCAAACATTCAAAAATATCCCTAATCTATCAGCTATATAGTATTTAAGTCTGTATGTTGCAGTTTAAGAAAAACGTATGAAATTTTTTTTTTTTCGATAAAAGCTATAGTTTCAAATTCAAATGTATACATTACAATGTCTTGAAGAACAGATTATCAGTGTACAGTGTACACGGGCATTGCATTAGCGCAAATTACTTGAGTGGACATTTAATTAAATGCAGAGAAGATTTATCAAAAAATATTTTAATTTCATTCAAAATTATGCTTTTAAAAGCAGCAAACTTTATTGTCAATCACCGATTTATTGGTGACAATCTTCAATCTTGAGAAATAGTTTTCCATAGAGAGATAGATTTGTAAACCAGTTAAAATTGAAATAAATAATTAGTTTATAATAAAATGACTTTAGAAACAGCGCTGTTTCTATAAAATTCAGTAAATAGCTATCCCACATGATCATCTAGTAGGGGTAAAAACCCACTGAAATAGGTGGATTTTAAGTTTTAATAAAATTGCTATGAAATGGCTGTAAAAAAAAACTTGGCTGTGGTCTAAAATTTTGTCTTGGCAACCCTGCTAGTTATAGTTTACTCAAGGTCCTTGAGTCAAAGAAATATAGAATACAAGGAGGGGGCGATAGGTTTTCCGTACACTGCGTAACAACAATAGCAAAGGCAGTCGATCTAATGTAAAAAAACAGGATTTAGTAAACAGTGAAACTTCATCTAACGCCAGAGATGCCAGATGTTTGGCGTTAGATGAAGTTTCGACAGATGTCTGTTTATCATTTGTGTTATTGTTTACAATCTTTATTATTGTTGTTACGCAGAAACTAGTTCTTCAGCAGTCCAAAAACGTGATAGCAAAATGTACGGAAATGCTACCGGCCCCCTCCTTGTATTCTATTGTCCTTTAGTTTACACACATAGATTTAGCAACTTATAAATGAAAATGAGCGTGAACAGATTCATTTTAATTGTTATACTAGCAGTGATTGCTGACAGGTCGTACAGGTAGATTTTATGGGGAAAAACACCACAAAAATAATGTTTAAATTATAATTTAACGATAATAATAATGAAAGTGATACCAATGATCCCAGTAACAACAATAACAGTAACAATAACAGTTACAACAATAACAGTAACAGTAACAATAATAATAATAACAATAATAATACTATTTACTAATAATAATAATAATTAATATTAATAATAATAATTTTGTTTGCCAGAATTAAGAAAATGTTTGACGTATTTCCTTCTCAATATAATGATGGTAACTGTAAGTTGAAGGTACAGTGTACAGTGTACAGTACAGTACAGTGTTCAGTGTACAGAATAGTACATTGTACAGTGTACAGNGGATTGTTTACTATTTAATCTTCTATTGAGAAACTTAAAGGGATTGTTTACTATTTAATCTTCTATTGAGAAACTTAAAGGGATTGTTTACTATTTAATCTTCTATTGAGAAACTTAAAGGGATTGTTTACTATGTAATCTTCTATTGAGAAACTTAAAGGGACTGTTTACTATTTATTCTTCTATTGATAAATATGATACTTAAAGGGAGTGTTTACTATTTAATCTTGTATTAAGAAATATAACGGGATTGTTTACTATTTAATCTTCTATTGAGAAACTTAAAGGGAGTGTTTACTATTTAATCTTCTATTGAGAAATATAAAGGGACTGTTTACTATTTAATCTTCTATTGAGAAATATAAATTTAAAAGGAGCATGTTAACATAATTATATTCTAGGGTGAGATGATGGGAAATGAAGACATGGCTCTAGGTAAGTTAGAGCGGAGAACTTAATTAACAAATTCGGAAAAGCAAACTTTTTTTAATAGTGTGGTCAGTGATGTGCCTTATGTTGGTTCTTTTTTGGATCGTTTTTTTAAACATTTTTTTAAGAATCGTTTTTGGTTCGTTTTTATAAACATTTTTTTTACGGATTGTTTTTGGTTCGTTTTATATTTTGTTACGGATCATTTTTAGTTTGTTTTTATAAACATTTTTTTTACGGATTATTTTTGGTTAGTTTTTATAAACATTTTTTAAGGGTTGTTTTTGGTTCGTTTTTATAAACATTTTTTATGGATCGTTTTTGGTTCGTTTTTTAAAACATTTTTTAAAGAATTTTTTTGGTTTGTTTTTATAAACATATTTTTAGAGATTGTTTTTGGTTCGTTTTTATAAGTGTAGCAGTACTAATAAAATAAATTAAGCTCTGCTCAGTGGTTAATAAATAGGATGAATAAACATCTAGTTTGGTGATTTGGACGTCAAAACTTTGGTCATTTGGACGTCAAAAGTTTGGTCTTTTGGACGTCAAAAGTTTGGTCATTTGGACGTCAAAAGTTTGGTCATTTGGACGTCCAAAGTGACGTCATTTCGACTTCGAAAATTAGGTTGTGAGGACGTAAGAATCCTTGCGTTAAACGTCCTCAACACGTCCTCAACACCTAAAATACGACGTCGCCGGACGTCCCATTGGTAATTATTGACGTCCTCATGAATGACGTCCTAAGGACATCTTCTGGTTTCTAGGGTTTGGTTCGTTTTCATAAACATTTTTTTTCGGATTGTTTCTAGTTCGTTTTTATAAACATTTTTTAATGATTGTTTTGGTTCGTTTTTATAAGCATTTATTCATGGATTGTTTTTGGTTCGTTTTTATAAACATTTTTTTAAAGAATTTTTTTGGTTCGTTTTATAAACATCTTTTTATGGATCGTTTTTGGTTCGTTTTTATAAACATTTTTTTATGGATTGTTTTTGGTTCGTTTTTATAAACATTTTATAAAGAATTTTTTTGGTTCGTATTATAAACATCTTAATACGTATCATTTTTGGTTCGTTTTTATAAACATTTTTTTAAGAATTTGTTTGGTTCGTTTTATAAACATCTTTTTACGTATCGTTTTTGGTTCGTTTTTATAAACATTTTTTAAAGATTTTTTTGGTTCGTTTTATAAACATCTTTTTACGTATCGTTTTTGGTTCGTTTTTTGAAAATATTTTGTTTCAGTGTCAAAATTTTTCATAGTGTAAAAAAATCAAATGTTTTTTTTTTTTAATTAAAAAACTAACCAAAAACGCTCCGAAAACAATCATAAGGATCACGTATTTGGATCCTTTTCCGTTTGTAAAGATAAAAATATTTATTAATAGAAAACTTGAACAGAATACGTTTTTGAAATCTTGAAGGTTTTTAAAACCAAACCGATTTATAACAACACCAAGTGCGGCAATATAATTTTCACTTATTTAAAGTTCATTATAGAGCTACATAATCGATTCACAACGTTGATTTTTTCTAGTAAATATTAGAAAATATTTTTTTTGTGAAATTTACAATTCGTTGATTGTGGATTTCTACAGTAGCCATGATGGTGGCTATAGTATTAATTTATTGTGTGAATCGTTGATGAAACTCTTAAATTAAAGGGAAATCAAAATGACCTTGACTTCTCCTTCCAATTTTTGTTATTTTTCCTTAGGATGAATTTTCATGCAAAAAGAGAAAATTATAAAATATTATTTAGGAAAGTTTTCAGTTCTTTTTATTGGTTCTAGTGGAAACCTAGATCAGTGCTTTAAACATGGATCAGCTTCAGCTCAACCAGGTAAACCTCCCTTCCCCTGCCACCCTTCCCCTGCCACCTTTCCCCTGCCACCCTTCCCCTGCCACCCTTCCCCTGCCACCCTTCCCCTGTTTTTTACTCTAAGCATCGTGGCAAACAATTTCTTTAGACGAAGGGTTACTCTAAGAAAAAAAAGCAATCTCTTGTTACTCTATCTTATTAAGCGGAGGATTACTCAAGTATCGGATACTATCCTTTAAATACAAGTATTGCAAAATCTCATTAAGCAGAGGATTACTCAAGTATCGGATATTATCCTTTAAATACAAGTATTGCAAAATCTCATTAGGCGGAGGATTACTCAAGCATCGGATATTATCCTTTAAATACAAGTATTTCAAAATCTCATTAAGCGGAGGATTACTCAAGTATCGGATACTATCCTTTAAATACAAGTAATGCAAAATCTAATTAGGCGGAGGATTACTCAAGTATCGGATACTATCCTTTAAATACAAGTATTGCAAAATCTCATTAGGCGGAGGATTACTGAAGCATCGGATATTATCCTTTAAATACAAGTATTGCAAAATCTCATTAAGCGGAGGATTACTCAAGTATCGGATACTATCCTTTAAATACAAGTATTGCAAAATCTCATTATACAGAGGATTACTCTCAGTATCGCAAACAATTTCTATTAAAGAAAGCTTACTCAAAGTATCGCTAGAATACCTTTATGCAAAGGCTTACTTTAAGAATCGCAAATCTACTCAAATCCAGGCCTTTTTAGGATTTACTCAAAGTTTAGCAAACTATCCCTTTAAACAAAGGCTTACTCTAAGTATTGTAAACATGCACTTTAAATTAAAGTATTGAAAACGATCTCATTTAACTAAAGCTTCTCTAAATATCTCAAACTATCCCTTTAAATTGTTAAGGTGGTATATATATCCTGGATATAAAGAAGGGACAGGAGGCAGAGCCTCAGCAGATCTATGTACAGAACTCTCCTTATACAGTTATGCACGGTTAGTAGTCTAGAGATAGATTTTTAAACTGCTTGATAAAAACAAAAGTTGTTAAAAAAAATCTAAATTATAGCCAAAGAACAATCTCTTGAATTAATTTTAGAGAGTTGATAATATGAACTTTATCTCTGAGATATTTGAATTTGGCGCCTTGCAAATTCAACCAACCGCTAGGGGATCAGAAGGCGCTAGTATCGGCTCTGGCAGCCATTTTCAATAGCTAGTTGCCGGCAAAAAGAGCACAGATTTACTCAGAGAAAATTTGAAGTTACATCCTTCAGGTTTATTTTGACATTTATCAACGAAAATAGAACTGTATTCAAAAAAGTTCTAATAAAATGTTTAGCGCATGGTATCTATGTTTCTAACAAGACGGACAGATTGTATGTTGTGGATCATCTTGGATTGTTGTACATAAATAAGGATCCAGATACACGGTGTTGTACATAAATAAGGATCCACATGCATGATGTTTTACATAAATACGGATCCAGGTACATGATATTTTACATAAATAAGGAATCAGATACATGAAATTGTATATAAATAAAGATCCCGATATATGATGTTGTATATCAATGTGGATCCAGATACATTATGTGATACATACATAAGGATCCAGATACACGGTGTTGTGCATAAATAATTATCCATGTATATGATGTTGTACATAAATGAGGATCAAGGTACATAATGTTGTACATAAATATTGATCCATGTACATGATGTTGTACATAAATAAGAATCCAGATACATGATGCTGTACATAAATAAGGATACAAATACATGATGTTGTACATATATAAGGATCCAGATATATGATGTTGTATATCAATAAGGATCCAGATACATGATGATGTACATAAATAAGGATCCAGATATATGATATTCTACATAAATAATGATCCATGTACATGATGTTGTACATAAATAATGATCCATGTACATGATGTTGTACATAAATAAGGATCCAGATATATGATGTACATAAATAAGGATCCAGATATATGATGTTGTACATAAATAAGGATCCAGATACATGATGTTGTACATATATAGTGATGGGCATTTAGTTTCGTTCGTTTTTTAAGACTTTTACAGTTATCAGACTTTGAAGAGATTTCATGAAACTTTGAGAAAAAATTCAAAACTATTATTCTAAAGATTCATATTTCTTCACTTTATTATTTTTGTTATAATTCTTGTACTGTACAGACTATGAAGATTGTGTACACACAATAATCCTTGAACTGTACAGATTATGAAGATCATGTACACACAATAATCCTTGTACTGTACATATTATGAAGATCATGTACCCACAATAATCCTTGTACTGTACAGATTATGAAGATCATGTACACACAATAATCCTTGTACTGTACATATAATGAATATCATGTACCCACAATAATCCTTGTACTGTACAGATTATGAAGATCATGCACAGACAATAATCCTTGTACTGCACAGATTATGAAGATCATGTACACATAATAATCCTTGTACTGTACAGATTATGAAGATTGTGTACAACAAGCCCTGCCTTGAGAGTAAAGGTTGGTCGTGTACCGACCCTGTTAGCTTGCTTCACATCAAAACCATAAGTTCACATCTTTTCCCTAGGCAATTATACAACCTTAAAGGAACTGTAAGCGTAATTTCATGATATTTCATAATATTTTTTATTTGTCATGATCTGATAGTTAATTTTAAAAACATTTATTCTTGTTTCGAGGATTTTTGATCATGAAGACGACATTTTCATATTTTCCAGGAATGTTCGAAATATTATTTTTTAAAAAACCAAACCAAAATATTATGAAATTGAACACTCCCTTTAAAGGAAATGTAAGCATTATTTTAAGTGACCCTCCATCAAACATGCCAATACTCGTTTTTTTTATATCAATGTTTATAATTTTGAAAATTGATTATTTTCAATTGTAGGTTCACTACAAAAGTGAAACTTGCGCATTTCTACTGCAGAGAAGCATATAAGAATGATCAACATTGAATACTTTTAAACCTAGAAAATTTGAAATAGTTCTGTTTCAAGATTTATGAATTTTCAAAACTTTAATCGTAATTGTAAATGGCTACAAATACGATAAAAGGGAAAAGCTTGCATGCACAACCAAATCAAGAATTTTAGCATAATTGCAGGGTTTAAATATTGTCTTTGATCTTTGTATTTAGTTGCGGCATTCATTCGTCAATCTAATATTAGAAGTAAAATTCTCAAATAACAATAACAAACACACATGGTCCTGGCATTTGTCTGCATTTTTTTGCACTTTTAAAATTACTTGAGATATTTTCGTTCAGGTTTATAAAATTTTGGTTTAAATTAGTAAATTTAAATCTGAATAAAATTCTTAACATTTCCGGTAAAATAAAAAGTGTAAAAAGGTGGATCACATTCTGGAAATGTAATGAGTAGAGGAATTTTGTGATAATTGTTTGCAGAATCCTAACTAAATATAAAAGTAGTTTAACAGATGAATTTTACTTCTATTGATCAATAAAGATGTTCAATCTTCAAGTTTTGTGGGACACCCTGTATATCATATGTTTTGTGGGACACCCTGTATATCATATGTTTAGAAGGATGTGTATTCTCTAGATGAATTCTAATAAATTTCAAAAGTTTTAAAAGAC